GCCATCGAAACTGGAATCTGCTTTGGTTCATCCAATGGGCTCACAAGCCTAAGCTGATGATGATGACGATGACGACAATGAGATGACGTTGATGACGATGACGATGATGCCAGCTACTTGTGGCTGCAGGTGACTTTTACGTCGCAATGTTGATACATTTATGTTGTAGCCTGGTGTGTTGCACGACTTCTCGAAGAACGTGCCACGAAATAGTTTGTTCCCTTGGAAGGAACTGGCTCACGAAGAAAATTCCGTAGAAAAAAGATGGGAACGCCATGGATTCCCTACCTAATAAATGTATGAACTTTGAAATCTCTGGAAGCCTGTGCAAATGGGTACCCGCAAAAAAAAAACATGAGAGTCTTCTCCCAAACGAGGAACTACGCTAGCTCTGCAATCAGCAGATGAGTTGGATAAGCTACGTCCCAAACTCCATCCAGATGAAGTAACTGGGCTTCTCCAACTGTATGGCCTCGATTTATAAGTCTAGCATTTGTATTCAATAAACAACATTTTGGACCTTCCATGCCACGAGAATGTTCATTCTCCCATGCATTAGGGGTAAAATCGTATACCTACCAAAAGGAACACTGCCCCGAATTGAATTGTTGAAGGGTAACTCAACAAGTTCTCTGTTGTTGTCTTCAACATTACTGCGAACTATGCAGGGAAAGTTGACAGGGAAATTATCCCATTGCATGCCTTTCATAAAAAAAATGGTGGGATCAAACATCCGAACGCTCTCAAATGAGACAACAATTAGAAATAAATATAATAGTAGTCACAAACGCAAAACTGGACTTTCGAAGGTACCGGAACTAACAGGTGTCCAGACGATGCGGACTATTTCAAAAAAAAAAAAGACTGCTGAAACCTGAGACTCCCCTACAACGGTCTCTCCGACGGAATAATTTATTTTTTATTGATTTAATATCCTTCAAATCATCTGAATAAACAAAGCCGAAAACGGGCCATAAATAAAAGTTAATTATTCCATGGAAACAAATGCGCCCTCTCATTCAACCCTTTCCCCATAATTTTACGTGAGTCGGATCGCGCAGGTGGAATGGCAGCTGGATACTATAACTTTTAACAGAAAAAAGAAGCGAAACAGTTTTAGTGAACAACCTTCATTTCGACATTGCGTCGATCGATTCTGTTTGAAGAGAATCAAATAATTGTACGGTAGGTATGCACAGCGTTAGAGAGTTCACGCTTTCTTGCCTTAATCAAGGGCACACAGTCATTCATCAAAAATAAATATCGAGCGATTCAAGACAATTCTCATATTTTCTTGCAATCATAGTCATAGTCAATAATAGCTGTAAGAAAAACACCAGTATCTCAAATTGATTGCGTCCAATTATTCAGTCGAAACGTCCTACTCACCATTGGAATTCCCCAGTGCGTGCAATGAGGTTTATCAAAAATCTACAATCACACAGCAAATCAACGGTACAGCTCAGCCGGCTGCCGTGAAAGGTGGAACCAGGGGGAGACGGGCGGTAGAATCGGTTTCGTGTATTCGATTTGCCGCACGCGGCTGTCGGGGACCATCTGCCTCACCGTTATTACAGCTCTAGCGTTCTTCATACAGCTCAATCGATATGCGATCATTATTATAGGCATGGTTCTACTATTAGTCCTTTATTCCTGTCTTTCTTACCTGCTGCAGCATCCTGCTACAATATTTCGCGCGCGGCATCCCTCTCTCCGCGACGCGACATTTCTATCCTACTGCACCACACCCAGAACCAGGTCGTCGCCGGCGGCAGCATAAGTGGTCCCGAAGCCATTTGGGGCTCAGGTAGATAGTCGATTACCACGTTCGGAACATCTTTTCTCGAACAGATGTCAGGTCGAGAAAATGTTAGACTATTTTGGAATGAACAAAGTCTCGCAAATCCAATTTTGTCGAAAACTTGTAGATCACCCGAATCCACTACCACTCTCTGGTTGCTGACATTCAAAACCATTCCTACCCCCAAGAAGCATTGGTAGACAAAGAGCTGAAGAGCTACAGTGACCGGAATTCTTGTTATTCATGCCCATACATCCCCACTTCATTCACTTCGGAATTCAATGGACTCTCTGAAGTGCTCCTTGATGAGAAGACTCCTTCCAGTAAAGCAGCAAAGGTTACTGGAACTGAATTGCAGCGCTGAGGTCCAGTTTGGCGAAACGAACTGCGTTCTGGACCAGAATATTATAATAGTTTTATCCTGAGTCTATTGCCGAATACGTCAATCATCTGAACGTTGATCATTTGCGAACTCATATGAACGGCAAACATCACATGGCCGTGGATCGCCGGCCGTCATGCGCCCCGAATACCAAACAACCTTCAACATTACAAGAAAAACGATGTTTGATGAGTAAGCGACGTCAGGTCAGAAACAAGCCCATAATTCAGTTCAGCAGCAGAAAAAGTAATTGCTTGCTGGTCATTTTCCAATTATCGACTAACAATACAACTACCAGTTTTGGGCGAACCTGCTCGTGGAGACAAACGATTAAATGCAAATAAAGGAAACGAATGGAAGTCTAAGAAAAAGAAATACCACCATCTAGCAATGGCGATGTAGTCTGCCATTCGATCAAACCTTTACCTGGGCATAGAAATCTTTCCCACGCCCCCTAATTCGTAGCAGAACGCCGAACGAATTAGGCACCGAATGTTTTGTGAACAATCGAATAATCGTGGAAATGAGGCTAGTAGATTTGTCCTTTCATCATTGTCTGGACCGAAGAACAAAGCGAAACAAAAACCATCAAAACTAGTTTTCCATGCATCCTCTGCCACCCAATACCTGTTTAAACAGTACATTGTAGGTTATTTCTGAGAATTGCCAAAGTCTAAAGCCATTATCATCAGCAGTGCTATTCAAGCACTACGAAATCCCCGTCATGAAAAGGGGTTTTGAATGACTGAAAACATCACTTGAGACCATTTTTCAACCTCATATCTATAGTAGTTTTGTACATTTATATTAATGTATATATGTAATACAAAATACCATAAAGGGCGCACTCACTACACTTCGTATTTTTCAAAGATCCCTGATACCGTTTCAGCAATTTCTAAAGCGGTCACCTCTGTATTTCAGTGATAAAGTGGGCGAATCATTCTTACAATATAATGTTGGCAAAACTTTCTTTCACCATAGAACCACCGACTGGAACACTCACGGATAAGTGCAACTCGATAATGTGACAATGTGTTATTATCACAGACTTTCTTGTCGGAGAAAATAGCTCTACGTCCCGAACGTGACTTTCAAAATGTTCCCAGAGCCTGAGAGATCGGAACCCTCCACTGTTCAGAAGTAGCATTACAGTGGAGAATTTGGAGAATTTCTGTCAAATGTAAAGTGTAAATGATCCATGAAAAGAANTTGAATATCCTGCCTTCCTCCCTTAACTGTTGTTGTTCGGAATGGTTAGTTTAGACTCGGAAACAATGTGGATGGAATTTAGATTACGGGCAAGAATTCGTTAGCGCAGAACCAGTTGACTCCCTCCCCATGTTCTCTTCAAGATAATTTACTTCGACCAAACTAACCCTTACTCCCCGTAGGCTTAGGCGGCACTACGGAGGAAGAACAAGGCAGGCAAAACTGAAAAGTACTCGAAAGATGCTTCTTTGATGAAAAGCTTCGCAGCAAAACGACATGATCGACCTTTTCAAAAGCCAATCCCAGTATTATGAGCAAACTCAAGCACAGTCTTCGAAAAAAGAACGTTACAGGAACAGAAAAGCTCCCGTGCTAGAGTAACGACTGATCTTCCATAGCAAGGAGCTGAACACAACCTTAGAAGCCGCCCTCGTATGAAAATCGTTTACCACTCCCCGAACTTCGTGAGTCATTTCTACTGCTTTTTACTGAATGAGACTTGACTTGTCGTCAGCAGCCTTATGAAAAAGACTTTAATGAAGCAGCCACAAGAATCCCTCAAGAACGAAAGCCGCAAGAGTCTCCGATAACCTTCACCTCAAGGAGAGGCAACGAAATGTGAAAGAGACTGATACAGTTGGTCCGACAACCAATTCCAGAAATGTGTCACACTCGGTTGAAAGTCCTTTCCTGCTCGAAATCTACTATTTTCCGTGGTCTACACAGAACGGCTGGCCCAAGATTCATTCGCAGCCAGCTTCAAATCCTCACTCTCAGTGTTCGTCAAGAAGCAAACCCCATTTGTCTATCAGACTTTTTGTACAACTTCGATTTTCCTCCATTGCCCTCACCATGAAAAACTGTTGGAAAGACAGGAGGAACTGGTGTTTTTACAGAAAAAGCAATTGAGACCGCCTAGATTTCGTGGTACACTGGTCCAGGCAATAACGCCCAGAAACGGCAGCAAGTTGGAAGTCAGGGTCTGAGAAACAGCACTTGGGACGCTCATGAATTTCTTTCACTTCCACGCAATGATTTTCGTTTGCCAACATTATTGAGCTCTATTTTGGGTACTTAACTCGAGAGAGACAACTTTTTGAAGGGAAACCGAAACTTACTTACATGAATTCCGACGGCAACAATTGCATGTTTCGCAATTTTCCCACTGTCCAGGCATCGATTGCAATCTGCTAATGAGTGCGCTAGACGTACATGCTCTGCAATGGGTTGAGTCAGTTGGTGACGAGTTGAATGAAAGGTACAGGAATACATGCACTTATCTTTTCAAAACGGGGGGAGTTGATTGTACTGAACGATTAGGGACCATCCTAAATCACAGCTACCGGACCTTCAGAGACTACGCAAGGGCAATGGAGCCCTCACGCAAAACCTTGCAAAAGTACTCCGGTACAAACATTGTGGTAGTTTACGGCAAGTAAGTTTTCTGTTTGGATTCTGGTTGGAACTCATAAAACCCGCAGTAATTGGATAGAAATGTGTTTTCGCTAATAGCGTGTAAGATACGAAAAGGCGGGGCCACGACGCCCTAAAGGCGGGGCAAGGCGACTTGTTCGCAGCAGTTTCGCTGTGAACACGCGCGGTTAAATGTGGACGACATTTACTCTCAGCTCCCTTATACTTTCTTTACCTCTGGTTTCTTCTACTACAGAATGGTGGGGAGATCTACGAGCTCATCTCAATCCTGCTCGATCACCACCTTTTTACGATGTCAGTTACGACGAAGCAGGTAATTTCAATGGTTTTTTCACGTATGGGAGCCTGAACATGCAGTTTTTTTCACTCCATTCTCCGCAAATTTGAATATGAAATTTGTGCAACTTGTTATTAGCGGAACCGATAAGAGGGGTCGAATATGTTCCGTGCCGTTTTTACTGCGTACGGTGGGACTCTCAAGTGCCCATGAGACACTGCCGTTCTTTACGCCTTTTTCCCTCTACTCCAATTAATTTGCAGAACGAATGGCTTTACAGTGGGGGCATCGAAGCCATTTCTTTCGCTATCTTTTTCCCTAAACCGAACAATGAAGCGTTGATGCCTCAAGATCTTTTGGACCTCCACAATAATCATTCAATTATCGTTAGGGAAAGCCCACTCAATTGAAAGGCAACGCGGATCCGAACTCTCTGAAGTCGCCCATTTTAGACTGCCCGCAAGGTCTGCGATCTGATGCGATTCCCGATTATGTTTACTTCGGGACGATGATGGCAACCATGAGTGTCGACGTATACGAGCAATGTCTTCAGAAGTGCGCTGAGAAGCCGCGCTGCAAAGCCGTCAACTATTTCCATCCTTTTGCCTACCAGAAGAAGGGTTTTTGCGAACTTCTCTCTGAAACCCAACGTGATAATCCACGACTGATGCGCCCTTTCCAAATGGCCACGTACTTCGAGCATATCAAATGCAAAGAAGTAGAAGACACCGTCGATGATCTTGTCGACATTGTACACAGTGAGTTGCTGTAACGTTTGCTTTCATTTTACACTTGACTAATATTCCCGTTTTTTCAGAACCACCGCCTCCGCGTAACAGGAAGTTGGAGATGAAAGGACTTATTAAGAAGCTTTCTAATAAGGTGCACGAGTTCAACTCAGGTTTCCGTGTCGCTCGTTAGATTGCGGCTTCCATTTACGTACCTAAGTTTCCTACATGTCTAATTTGATCTCACTATATGTCGCCGCCGGGTGCTCAGGGGCGGGTACGCGCTATGACATAAGGCATAGCCGGCCTCCAAGTTTTTTTTCCCCTTCGAAAGTCAATATCATTTTATGTATGTACAAGTTTATACTTTTCAATCGATACTTCTTCGAATAAATGTACACATTCAATCCACAGGCAGATGATGAACACAACTAGGGCTCTGAGCTGATCGGGTGCTCCAGAATCAGACCGCTTATCGACTGAGTTTGAAGTTTACGATAAGGCGAACGTTGCTGTCACCAAACCTGATGGGGAGGTAGAAAAAGCAAGGCCATAGAGTGAGCAAGAAGTTGCACTCTACTAGAGTGCCAAACAGGCGCTCGCCTGCTGAAATAAGACGGAAGCCTCACACAGCCAAGAACTTGATTAATTAAAACCCTTTAGAAGGTTGATACGAATTAACCCAGATCACTGTGGATGGGTACTAAGACATGAGAAACTAGATATGCGCCTTTTTTCCAAAATTCCTGCAAAAAGCTGTGATTTTTCTATGTTCCAGAACACTTAGGCAGATCTGTTCTCATTCTTTTTTGTCTTCCACGTAATTAATAGCTGATATAACCAGGGTAAACTAATTTTCGGGGTCATAAACTCTCTGAAGTAATAAATAGAAGTTCATCGAACGCCATCGAACGCCATTGCCGCAACAGCCCCACTAGGCAGGCGCAACATCAAAGATTGCATTACATGATGCCTCACCCTTCCTGCTTCGCTCCTGCTTTCTGCGTTGGTCCTTCAGCTGATTCTTCCGCTTTTCGCTCTGCATTTCGGCAATGTCATCGAGGCTCTCATCGTCATGACGTCTCGTTTTCGCACTTTTCTGAACAGTGAGCATTTTCAGAATGTATGAAGATATTTGACGATCTCCACTAAAGATGTAATAAGAAAGGAATTCATCAGACTTTAGTATCCTTAGAAAGGGTATCATTAAAGACCGGATCCGATGAAAATCGATAAGATGGGGCAGGTTCGGAATAACCGTTTGCGGTCATTACGTCAGCACATTCCATCAAAAATAGACCGTCGGCGATGTCGCCGCTGCAACCACACAGTCACAAGTGGCGAAGAGATGTTCAGTGAAACACTTCAATGGGAAACGTCTAAACATTGCCGCTCGCTCTCGCTCCTCTTCCTCAGAAAGGAATCAGAGACCACCAGATGTTACGCATAAATTTCTGCCATATATTATCCTCCAACCGGTAGTTGGCATGCGAACCACCGTACCAATGATCATTTGAAGTCAGCGTATGCGAAACAATCGCAAGGACACTCACACACTAGGTCGCAGTAGATTCCGAGAAGGACGTAACCATGCACTCACACTATCTGACGCAGCCACAAGCTGCTATCCTTCGGTTTATACGATGACACCAAAGCAAAAGCCCTGCATCACTACTTTCCGAGCCGCGCATTCCCTGTTTTCATCTTCAACTACTGTGTATGAGGGTTACCAGATTTCGACTCGAATCGTATATTATGCGATTAAACGTGAATTTAAAACCAAGACAGCTGTAAAATATAAAAATTAGAGCCTGTATGACTAGGTTTTTGAATCACAGTCTCGCTTTTTAGGATGCGTCCACATACTCGACCTCATTTCAAAATCGTAGTGCCCTTTCGGGAGTCTATTTGGCCTACATGAGAACTTGTCGCTCAGTTCATGTTTCTTTCCCCACACGAATATGGCAGCGAGCGCTGACCCTAGAGAAAGACACGTTCGGTTTGCCTAGGCCGGAACCTACCATGATCCGGAAATCACTTACCGGACCATGGTAGGTTGACCGGCTGCTTAGGTTAGTTTTCCTAAAGAGTTCGAAATTGTTCCAGGCAGCAACGAGTTGAGCGGTTGAACAGCTCACAGTGTACACTGTACCCTAACTCACTCGCCTAATCTGAGTATTAGAGGATTAGTCCGCACTGACTGTTATATCACGGTCCATTAGCAGTAATTGTGGGGATCGCGTTACTCACTAATATAGAGGATAACATCGCTGGAACCAACTAAGCATATCAAGTTGTTAGACAAAGTGCATCGAGCGTTTATCGAAACATCTCTGCAGCAATCACTGGAGGGATTCTAATACGAGTGAATCACTAATGATGGGTGAAAGAGATCAGATCAACTGTGTAAAAGTTCAGTTTGGAAATAAAAAAGATTGATTTGAGCATCGGAAGATCACAATCCCACTGGAAATGTTGTTTATCCCACTGGGATCTGACGCTTCACTACAACTAATGAGACGAAAATATGTGGTGTAGCAATTCGGTTCATGTGGCCGTTCAAATGTCAGCCCATCTAACAAGAAAGGTCTCTTCCTGTATGTCATCTGAGGAGGGCAACTCATTATGATATTCCTATATATTCATGCATTAATAATGCCAACCTGCTTATCGAAAAATCTCGTTTATTCATCAAAATCGATTTATGCTGTACGAACTATGGAAACCACTATTTCCGATCGCACAGAATATAATATTTCTACATTTTAATCGCCCCTCACTACTCCAAAACCCTAGAATCAACCGAGGTGAGCTGCTCAACAACACACTCTTCCGAAGGACTTGATAAGGCTTACTTGTCGACTACGTCAGCATTCCGAGAAAGTCTGACGGTAAGAAAACTCAGTATACGCTAGCTACGCATTGTCGTCCCTTCAATGATACAATAAAAATACGTAGACCGGAACGACGAATAATAAATCAATGTTGCGACCGGTGTGGAAAATAACTTGCTGCGCTGTAATGAGACGATAAACCATCGGAGAATTGTTTCAAACCACGGTTGCTAATCTAAAGACGCATGGCCTTAGAAACTATCGCCATTTTTTTGTTCAGTACAGAAGAATGACACGAAGTATATCGAGCGATATCACATGCCCAAGAAACTAAACAAAATCAGAGTTTTTTCGCGAATTGATCCTGACAATTCAAAGGGTTTCTAGAATTTTGCCCGATAGTCAGCCATTGTAATGATTCTCCGTTCGACGTTCACTTCTATAACCGTCATGCGCTGCTTCCTAACAAGGGTAGGGCGCGACGGGACTTTGGGCGATAAGAAAAGAGCAAAAACTTGAATTGAAGCTATCATGACCGTCCATCAACCAACCACTGATTGGAAGATGAATCACATGTTTATCACAGATATCCATAGAAGGGATAGGACCAGACACACACCCAGATAAGCCTAACAAAAACTGTGAAATTTAGATAACCGCAGCATTAACTATTAAGATTGTGCAGAGCGAAGCATAAACACGTCGAAAATTTTAAAAAACGATTTAAATTATCATGATAAGAACGGCCTATTTTAGAAAAGTCAGAATGTACGTTCTCAAAATAGGACATAGCACTACATATAATTCACCAAGTGCGCGGTGTAAGATGCAAGGTGTAGGGTGTTTACCCAGTTCCCGAACAATCACTGACGAGCTTCAGATGAGTGACGAAGTGGAACTATCATTCTATCTGTCTTGAAGCGGAAGAGATTCGCAATGAGGTCTCTAGTCGAATCAGGATTGAGTGCGATGAAGGCCTACCACGGATGCCATGTTCACAGGTGGGCAAATGGTGAAGAAGTGTTGAGGAAAGCTTAGAGCTTGTTAGTTAGCCATTTCTCAGCACAGAGCTAGAGTTGGAGCGTAGAACGACAATGACGACCAGCTCTGAACGCGTTCTTCTTCCTATTAACCCTGATGTCACCACAAAAACTATCTTCCACGCTAACGACGTACTTTCCGGTTACTGGTTATCGCAGTACTGGTTAGTAGAGAAACTTCAGAAATAGCAGAAGAAGTGACAGTGAATGACTCCTACTGTAAAAATGTGGAAAAGATAATGTTCTAGCTCAAGGAATGGGCAGAGCCAAAGAGAATGGTCCTGGAAAAGCCATCCAAACAATGAAATGGAAGGAATCCAATATTCTCAACAAAAGGGGCTCCAGGAGGCTCAATGGAAAGCTACCTTGAGCAGTAATGAAGCATATGAGTTCAGTAGCAGCGAGTGCTGATTCTTGAGCAAAATCGAAAAGTATCTCTACTCAGATGACATTATCAATTAAGACAAGCCTCCTGTTGGATGTGGCTGAACTTGGCCGAATCCAGTCAGGAAATTGGAAGTTAGGTCAGTCATGCAAATAGCTCCTGCACAATTAAAATCATCTCGGAATGGCTCATGTGTGGGAGGGCGGAAGGAACAACGAGAAGGTGTGGAATGAGCCGTAGCATAGCCTCAATCGACGATGCTTACTATGAACCGATATTCAGAACAGACTAAAATCAAAAAAAAACTGTATTAGTGAACAAGGCCTAGTTCTCAGGTGCGCAAGGCCTATATTGAGTGATCCGGCTACTAATGGCTGGCGAGGGCTTTCTTGCTTTAAGAAGCTTACAACAAAAAAATGCAGCTTCGCACAAATATGTATGTTCCAGACGCCGAGAAGGCTAACAATGGAAAGGAGTCCATGTGTTTACGGTAGGCGGCATGTGCACCGATGTGGGCGGTGCCAAAATCAAAAGTCTACAACTCGTTGAAAGATTGTGCAGCTCAAGACAAAAATTTATGCGAAGAAGAAGAGATTAAGTGCTCATTGTGGATGAAGAGTGCGATGAAGTGAGTGGAAATGAAAAAAAAGCTTACATAAGGTAGTGAGAGAGCTTGGCTGTTGAGATTATGCGATAGAGACCAGCGAAGGAGTAGAGGCTATATGCTCAAAACAGTTGCTCAGATTCTCATACAAAAAACCGTGGTAAACTTCCGAGTGTACATGGCTACGGGGTAAGTAGTGGACCATGTGAAGTCTATTCGGTCAATGCAGAAATTAGCAGCCCCTTGAGGACATCGTTAAGGTGAGCGAGGTTTCCAACAAAGTGGGTCTGAAGACACCAATTCGACTGAAATTACCATTTGTTTCTTGAG